AGTCTTGAGCCACATTACCACGAAAAAACAGAGAGTAAGGTTTGACCGTGTGTCGCTCTAAATAATATTATCTTAAACAGTTTTCTAACCTTCAAAATCATAGGCTCAACCATTATATGAGGCGATTTAATAAAACAAAAACTTAGTGTAGTAGAATAACATATGCATAGCTGAACATATAGATTTTATTTATATTTGGCTTGGTTTATTGTTTCCACATTTATCTTTATAAATATTTGGGGAATAATGGTAAGTTAGAAAAATTTACGCAACCAAAAGGAAGGATGATCCAGACCAGATGGTCCAATACACGGTCCAAACCAGGATGGTCAAAACACAAGGATGATCAGACTAGAATGATCCAGACTAGAATGATCCAAACTAGGGTGATCCAGACCAGATGATCCAGACTAGAATGATCCGACCTGGGTGATCCAGACCAGATGATCCAAACTAGACTGATCCAAACTAGGATGATCCAGACCAGGTGATCCAAACTAGGATGATCCAGACTGACTGATCCAAACTAGGATGATCAACTAGGTGATCCAACCAGAGCGATCCAAACTAGGGGATCCAGACCAGGTGATCCAGACTAGACTGATCCAAACCAGACTGATCCAAACTAGGATGATCCAGACCAGGGTGATCCAAACCAGGATGATCCAGACTAGACTGATCCAAACTAGATGATCCAAACTAGGGTGATCCAAACTAGATGATCCAGACAGAATGATCCAAACCAGGATGATCCAGACTAGGATGATCCAGACTAGGATGATCCAGACCAGACTGATCCAGACTAGGATGATCCAAAACAGGGTGATCCAAACCAGGGTGATCCAGACTAGAATGATCCAGACTAGGTGATCCAGACCAGGTGATCCAAACTAGAATGATCCAGACTAGACTGATCCAAACTAGGGTGATCCAACTGAGATGATCCAGACTAGACTGATCCAAACTAGGGTGATCCAGACTAGGATGATCCAGACTAGATGATCCAAACTAGTGATCCAGACTAGACTGATCCAAACTAGGGTGATCCAAACTAGGGGTGATCCAGACCAGAATGATCCAGACCAGGGTCATCCAGACCAGGTTGATCCAAACTAGGGTGATCCAGACCAGAATGATCCAGACTAGGATGATCCAGACTAGGAGATCCAGACCAGGGTGATCCAGACTAGAATGACAGACTAGAGATCCAAAACTAGGTGATCCAGACCAGATGATCCAAACTAGGTGATCCAGACTAGAATGATCCAGACCAGATGATCCAAACCAGGTGATCCAGACCAGAATGATCCAGACCAGGGTCATCCAGACTAGGATGATCCAAACTAGGATGATCCAAACTAGGGTGATCCAGACTAGAATGATCCAGACTAGAGATCCAAACTAGGATGATCCAAACTAGGGTGATCCAAACTAGGGTGATCCAGACTAGAATGATCCAGACCAGGGTCATCCAGACTAGGATGATCCAAACTAGGGTGATCCAGACTAGAATGATCCAGACTAGGATGATCCAGACAAGGATGATCCAGACCAGGGTGATCCAGACTAGAATGATCCAGACTAGGATGATCCAAACTAGTGATCCAGACTAGAATGATCCAGACTAGGATGATCCAAACTAGGTGATCCATAGAATGATCCAGACTAGAATGATCCAACCAGGATGATCCAGACCAGGTGATCCAGACCAGATGATCCAGACTAGAATGATCCAGACTAGAATGATCCAGACTAGATGATCCAGACTAGGGTGATCCAGACTAGGATGATCCAGACTAGAATGATCCAACTAGGATGATCCAGACTAGGGTGATCCAGACTAGGATGATCCAGACCAGGGTGATCCAAACTAGGATGATCCAGACCAGGGTGATCCAGACCAGGGTGATCCAGACTAGAATGATCCAGACTAGACTGATCCAAACTAGGATGATCCAGACTATGGTGATCCAGACTAGAATGATCCAGACTAGGATGATCCAGACCAGGGTGACCAGACTAGGGACCAGACTAGGATGATCCAAACTAGGGTGATCCAGACTAGAATGATCCAGACCAGGTGATCCAGACTAGGATGATCCAAACCAGTGATCCAGACTAGGTGATCCAGACTAGACTGATCCAAACCAGGATGATCCAAACTAGGATGATCCAAACCAGGATCCAGACTAGAAATGATGACTAGATGATCCAAACTAGGGTGGGATCCAGACTAGGGTGATCCAAACCAGGATGATCCAAACCAGGGTGATCCAGACTAATGATCCAATCTAGGGGATCCAGACCAGACTGATCCAAACTAGAATGATCCAAACCAGTGATCCAAACCAGGGTGATCCAAACTAGGATGATCCAAACTAGGATGATCCAAACTAGGGTGATCCAAACCAGATGATCCAGACTAGGATGATCCAAACTAGGTGATCCAGACTAGACTGATCCAAACTAGATCCCAAACTGGGGTGATCCAAACCAGGGTGATCAAGCTAGGATGATCAGAAACTAGGATGATCCAAACTGAAATTGATCAAACCAGGGTGATCAGAAACTAGGGTGATCCAAGCTAGGATGATCCAGACTAGGATGATCCAAACTGAGATGATCAGACTAGGATGATAGAATCCAAACTAGGGTGATCCAGACTAGACTGATCCAAACTAGGATGATCCAAACTAGGGTGATCCAAACCAGGGTGATCCAAACTAGGGTGATCCAAACTAGGGTGATCCAAACCAGGGTGATCCAAACTAGGATGATCCAGACTAGACTGATCCAAACTAGGATGATCCAAACTAGGCTGATCCAAACCAGGGTGATCCAAACTAGGATGATCCAAACTAGGGTGATCCAAACTAGGATGATCCAGACTAGGATGATCCAAACTAGGGTGATCCAGACTAGACTGACCCAAACTAGGATGATCCAAACTAGGGTGATCCAAACTAGGATGATCCAGACTAGAATGATCCAGACTAGACTGATCCAGACTAGGGTGATCCAGACCAGGGTGATCCAAACTAGAATGATCCAGACTAGACTGATCCAAACTAGGGTGATCCAAACTAGGATGATCCAGACTAGACTGATCCAAACTAGGGTGATCCCAAACTGGGATGATCCAAACTGGGTGATCCCGAGCTAGGATGATCAGACTAGGATGATCCAAACTAGGGTGATCCAGACTAGACTGATCCAAACTAGGATGATCCAAACTAGGGTGATCCAAACTAGGATGATCCAAACTAGGATGATCCAGACTAAAATGATCCAGACTAGGATGATCCAAACTAGGGTGATCCAAACTAGGATGATCCAGACTAGAATGATCCAGACTAGGATGATCCAAACTAGGATGATCCAGACTAGGATGATCCAGACCAGGGTGATCCAAACTAGGATGATCCAGACTAGGATGATCCAAACTAGGATGATCCAAACTAGGGTGATCCAAACTAGGATGATCCAGACTAGGATGATCCAGACTAGAATGATCCAGACTAGGATGATCCAAACTAGACTGATCCAAACTAGGATGATCCAGACCAGGGTGATCCAAACTAGGATGATCCAGACTAGGATGATCCAAACTAGGATGATCCAAACTAGGGTGATCCAGACTAGACTGATCCAAACTAGGATGATCAAAACTAGGGTGATCCAAACTAGGATGATCCAGACTAGGATGATCCAGACTAGACTGATCCAGACTAGGGTGATCCAAACTAGACTGATCCAAACTAGGGTGATCCAGACCAGGGTGATCCAAACTAGGGTGATCCAGACTAGACTGATCCAAACTAGGATGATCCAAATTAGGGTGATCCAAACTAGGATGATCCAGACTAGACTGATCCAAACTAGGATGATCCAGAATTAGGGTGATCCAAACTAGACTGAGTCCAAACTGGGGTGATCCCAGACCAGGGTGATCCAGACTGGGCTGATCAGAAACTAGACTGATCCAGACCGGATTGATCCAAACTAGGATGATCCAAAGACTAGGATGTTGATCCAAACTAGGGTGATCCAGACTAGGATGAGCAGGGATGATCCAGGGTGATCCAGACAGGATGATCCAAACTGAAATGATCCAGAGGGTGATCGACTAGAATGATCCAGACTAGGGTGATCCAGACCAGGGTGATCCAAACTAGAATGATCCAGACTAGACTGATCCAAACTAGGGTGATCCAAACTAGGATGATCCAGACTAGACTGATCCAAACTAGGGTGATCCAAACTAGGATGATCCAGACTAGGATGATCCAAACTAGGGTGATCCAGACTAGACTGATCCAAACTAGGGTGATCCAAACTAGGATGATCCAGACTAGGATGATCCAGACTAGACTGATCCAAACTAGGGTGATGCAGACTAGGATGATCCAGACTAGGATGATCCAAACTAGGGTGATCCAGACTAGACTGATCCAAACTAGGGTGATCCAAACTAGGATGATCCATACTAGACTGATCTAAACTAGGGTGATCCAAACTAGGATGATCCAAACTAGGGTGATCCAGACTAGACTGATCCAAACTAGGATGATCCAGACTAGGATGATCCAGACTAGACTGATCCAGACTAGGGTGATGCAGAGTAGGATGATCCAGACTATACTGACCCAAACTAGGGTGATCCAAACTAGGATGATCCAAACTAGGATGATCCAGACCAGGGTGATCCAGATGTAATGAGAGTAATCTCACATAGAAGGTAAAGTAAGTTATAGTAGGAGGATTTTAAAGTGAAGAAAGTTGTTAGCATGGCCGATTAGTTATTTAATCGTTAGTATCTTCTTAGGGGAAATCTTCTAAACACCAATTCTAAGTACAGCTATTTATTAGTTAACTGGATGGCATGGATACATTAATAGATCATTATATTGACGTTTCTAGACAATGACTCTCGTACACAAACATGAAATGGATACACTTCCCACCGTAAGTAACTTGCCCTTTGGATCTCTCTGACAATGACTCACATGTGACCTGAGGGAGGCCCAGTGGCTGGGGACTCTGTAGGACCTAGTACTGCTGGGGCTAGTGGTCTCTTGTGGGAGACTCTGTCTGCCTCTGAATTCTGTCTCTCCCGATCTGACTTTTGGAAGGAGCTATAGGCCCCTTATATTGGAGGCATCAGGCCGGCAGATGTCATCTCCTAATTATCAATAATCTGGGTGGGTGTGGACAGCTGTGTTTGATCAGGTGCGTGATGCTGTCTGGGGGGTAGTTTTTTTAATTAATACGGTCATGTCGCCTGGTCTGTCATCACACAGTGGCGAGAACTCCTTTTCCCTTTGTGACCGACCTCTGTTGGGTCAGGTCTTAATCTCACTTTAATTACTGTAGGGTGGGTGAACTTACAGGGGTGTACGCCTGTTCATCTAGTTCCTGCTATATGTGTTGTTCTTCTTTGGGCATAAACAATCATTACACAGACTAGGATGATCCAGACCAGGATGTTCCAGACTAGGCTGGTCCAGGCTAGGATGGTTGTACCCCTGGTTTTGGGTTAAAATAGTTTTCCCTGCCATTTCTTCAGCTGCCTCATAGATACTGTTTTACCTAAACCATCACTGTTGACAGATTGAGCCGTCATCTCGTCCATCATTTGAGGAGTTGACTCAGAAGCTTGAGCCTCTCTTGCACCAACTCACTACACAGTCTTCAAGACATGGTCCCAGAAAACTCAAAAGTAAGCTGTAAATTTATTTCTATTAATTTTAGATGGAGTTATATTCATTTACTTTAAATTATTACTGTCATAGTATGGTCAATAAAATGATTGACATTATTGAAGAAATGATGGACAAGTCCAAGGAGTTTAAAGATATTTTATGTGTGAACTATCGGAGATATTTTTTATAAAATTGACACAGTTGAAGAAAATTTGTACAATTATTATGGTAGTAAAAATTTTTCTTTAACTCTTTTGCGCTGATTGTCGCACGTTAGACTTTTATTCTGGTTGCCACTGCCAGACAATTTTATTCAGTTTAGGGAAACTTCCAGGTGCCAAAGGGTTAAAACCTCTCTTGATTAAGGTTATAAAAAACACTTTCTTATTAACAGATGTGTGTCATCGTCGATCCATGTCAGATGACACATTCAAGGTCCTGCGCAACCAGATGGGTGATGCTGTGTGTGTGGCGGGCGTCTCAGGAGCAGCTCACCCAGTCACCACTTTGGTAATTTCTACTGCTGTTACACCACAGGAAATTGTTGAGAAGATGAGTGCAGCTGACCCTTACTTCCAGCCTTCCACTGGCACAGTCAATCCCTTCACACAGCTAAAATTGCCCGCCAGATCACAGTTAGCGCTGCAGGAGGGCGGTAGATACTGCCTCTCCCTGCCTGACTATCCTGGTTTGCTGGTACACTCACCAAGCTTGGAGATCAATAAGCACATCCATACATCAGACTCTTGCTTGTGTCCTCCTGCATCTTCTACTCATTGCCAGTGCCATGTAAACCAAAGACAATTCTCATCTCAAGTTGACAATAACAGAAAACACTGCCAGTGTGTGCACAGTGCAAGAAAGTCAAAAGTTATTGAAAGAGAAGTGACAGATTGCAAATGTAAGTTAACTAGAGTATCCAGTGTTGGCCCGTCAGTGTGGCAGCAAGACGTATGTAGGCCGTTAGGTCAGGCAGAGGAAGACGGACCAGCTAGCAGTATGCCACGTTTAGACCCGGGTAGTGGAGGTGAGGCAGGAAACACAGTATTACACACTAATCACCTCGGAGGACCGGTTCGGCGCCGTGGCTCGGGAGAAAGTGGGTTTTTTAGTGTTGGAGACGTTGAACGTGTGGGTACGCCCGAGCTCTGCTTATCTTACTCAGAGCTGAGCACAGCTTCTCTGATGTCCACGGAAGATGACGATCCCGGTCATCACTGCCTCGTACAGAGATCCTCTTCTGTTGTAACTGATAGTTCAGAAGACTTATCTAGTCTTGGTTGCTGCCATGATCCTCAAAACTCTTGTGATCTCTCTTCCTTGTGTGAGAGTGAGGATGTTATGCCCGGTAGCCGTTTGTCGGATTATGAGGTGGACACTGATATTCGTCAGATAGTGGACTTCTTCGAAAGGAATGTTGGGTCTGGTTCTGGGTCGGACACTCCGAGACGCACATCGTCTAGAGTACGGCAAGGGTGCTTGGTACCTCTACTGACACACAAGTTCAGTGCTCTACATGCTGGTCATAGACTGATCAGTGTTACAAGTCCTCCATGTCCTGTTCATCACACCATTAGCACCTCAAATGCTGGCAATAAGTCATACAGCACCAAAGATTGTGCAACACCAAAGTCCTGCCGTCAGCCTTGTTCCCGTGCTGAGCGGCGTGATACATTTCGGGTCAAAGACAGACCAAAAGTTTACATAACAGAAGGTACCGTCCGTGCAAAGCGCGATATATTTGAAGCAAAATGAGTCAAGCAAAATATATTTTCTTTATGTGCGATCATAATGTTTTTAATGTAAATTGTTCGTATTTTTGTTTCCTAGTCACAAGCTAAGTGTTTTGTGATATTGAACTAAAAGTTTTTCTTCCTTTGTCTCTAAATATGTGAAATAAAGATAAAACCTGATAATACGTAATTTATTTCCCAAGAAACACTTTAATATTCATGAAATAAATGGATGTCATTTGGTTAGGGTAAAACTGCTTTCTAGCCTTCATTATTATCTGTTGACACATGATAAATTAACTTTATTGTGACAATCAGGCGGGTCTGACATTAAGATCTGCCCCATACTTACCATAATACTTTATATAGAAAATGATCTTTCACAAAGAAGTCCTGACAACTTCCCAAAAAAGGGGGCAGCAAATGTTCAAGCTGTCAGATCCTTTTATAGCTCTTCACAGTCTGTTTGGTTCTTACTTTCCCTGAATAACTTGGCATTGTCTGCAAACATTTGTACAGAGGAGTCATTTGTGAAGCAAACAAACAAACAACAGCGTGTGGGAGGGCTCCTGGGGGCGCTGCGGCCTTTGGGGGCGCCGCTGCCACTGGGAGGGCCCCTGGGGGCGCCGTTCACCCCTGAGAGGGCACCAGTGTGTCTGGGAGGGCTCCTGCGGGTTCTACCGCATCTGGGAGGGCGCCAATATCAAGTCACAAAACTGTTTACAAGACCAGCTCCCACAGTACCAGATCTATATGTCAATTATATGTTTCTCATATTTTTTGTATTGAAAGCTTTTGTAATTTAAGTACAGTGAGTTCTGCTATAACGCGTGTTTTGACAACGCGAATTTGCTCGAACGCGATTTATGAATTGAGGAACGATATTTGTAAAACGCGAACTCTTTTGCTCTAACGCGATTCCACTCGAACGGTTGTTGTGGCTTCAGTTCACGTTCGACATCACATGTTCAATTGAGTTATGTGTTTTGTTTGTGAACAATTGCAGAAATAATGTATGTAATATTTATGTATACAGTATACCTATATATTATAAGTAAATTGTAAAATTTTACATAAAAGAGAAAATCTAATTACATAGCGTTTTACACCCGCGCTCTCTCTACATCACACACAGTGTTTACAGTTCACGTTCGACATCACATATTCAATTGATTTATGTGTTTTGTTTGTGAAGAATTGCAGAAATAATTTATGTAATATTTATGTATACAGTAAACCACTCACAAGGTCCTACAGTACCACTAATTATTTTATACTGAAACTTACGTTTGGTAAGCTGGATTAAAATGAAGATTACCGGTATATTAAAATAATAAAAATGTATTATAAACCAGTCTAACATACCGTAATAAACACAGCTGCTATTATCATCCCCCCCCTCCCCCATTTGCCAGTGACAAGAAAGGGAAAGTGACCTTGACTGACCGCCTGTGGCTATTTTTAGCCGTCCTTGTGTTCGGAGGTGGTCAGTAATGCATATCTGTATATTTACTGATCATAATACTTATCTCTTATAAATAATTCATTTAAAATTTATTTTTTTGCAAAGAATATTCAGTAAATGACTGCATTAATTCTTGAAACTACCTACAGTGGTAAATTTAGGATATAAATAATGAACAGAAGTCACGTCATGGATTCGGAGTTTGGTCCTTAACGATCACCATAAATGTAGCCTCCCTTTTTCGCGAAACACGTATATAAATTAAAGAAAATACTTGCAGTATATTTAATATATTACAGTATATTATATATAAATAAATAAACAAATAAATTCAAATTCCCTTATCATCCTGTGTCATATACAGAAATACTTGAGTCCCTGAGCGAGTACACAAAAAGAAAACGGACATCCTGGAGTGGATAGAGAACGGACATCTCTACTGGGGGACTCAAACGTTTCTCATGTTTTGTGGGCGCTCTAGCATAATATGAATAATATGTAAATTACAATTTACATATATATATATATATATATATATATATATATATATATATATATATATATATATATATATATATATATATATATATATATATATATATATGTATATGTATGTAATTGTAATTTATATATATATATATATATCTTGATAAAATCACACGGGAAAATGGAAACAACGGAGTACCTTAGCTTTCGTCTTTATTCAAGACATCTTCAGAGGCAACTGGATTACATGGACAGAGAGAGGCTTAAATATACAGGGTGACCTAAAAACATGAGGTCAGGTCATAATGATGACATCCACTAATCCCCACAAATCATCTTGTGTCACAGAAAGACTTCTGGTTGAAGCTAGTTTGATTAAGGAATTAAAATCAATAAACCTTAGTGATGGTCAGTTCAAAACTGATAATATGTTACATAAATTTATTTGTCAGTGGCCCAAGGTTAAAAATGCTTTGAAAACCTTTGATCTAGATGTATGATAGTTATTTTGTGGGTCCCTTTTTTCTGACCTGACCTGGCTAGTCACGTCACCACCCTTCTCTTAAGCTCCTCTACGTGTGTGTTGGTGTGGGGATTAGTGGATGTCATCATTATGAGCTGACCTCATGTTTTTAGGTCACCCTGTATATTTAAGCCTCTTTCTGTCCATGTAATCCAGTTGCCTCTGAATAAAGACGAAAGCTAAGGTACTCCGTTGTTTCCATTTTCCCGTGTGATTTTATCTTATCCACGTTTTCATTGTGGATTTACATGAAATATATATATGTAAATCGTAAAAATTTAAATAAAAGAGAAAAACTAAATACGTAGCGTTTAAAGTGTTAAAGTGTACTGTACAGTGTTGTGGCTTGGCTCAATGTTTACAGTTCACGTTCGACATCACTTGTTCAATTGATTTATGTGTTTTGTTTGTGAAGAAATACCTGTACAGTATATGTAAATTGTAAAATTTTAAATAAGAGAGAAAAACAAAATAAGTAGCGTTTAAAGTGTACTGTACATTGTGGCTTGGTGCGGGGTTATGCAGTGTTTACAGTTCACGTTCGACATCACATGTTCAATTGATTTATGTGTTTTGTTTGTGAAGAATTGCAGAAATAATTTATGTAATATTTATGTATACAGTATACCTGTACAGTATATGTAAAATGTAAAATTTTAAATAAGAGAAAAACAAAATACATAGCGTTTTAGACCCGCGCGCTCTGTTTACTCCACACTTTGTTTGAAACACTTGTGAAGTTTTTAAGTGTCCTCAGTGAATTCTGATTACTGTTTCTCCAATTTTGTGACTATGGAAAAGAAGAATATCTCTGGGAAGCACTCTGGTGATCGCATTTCCGGTGGTGATTGTAAAAGAAAGGCTATAACACTTGAAGAAAAGCTTGATGTTTCATGACTCCTCAGCCTCAACATCACCCTTATCCCCCATCAAGTTATATTCATATTTTTTCAAGGTAAAGTGTAACATTTACTGTATGATTTCATTATTAGATATGAATGTAACATTTATTTAGACTGTGCTATCCTTTGTGTTAGGCTAACTACGAAATTTGTTTTCGATTTGGAGTAATCTGCACCTAACCCTATTTTCTCCATAAGCCCTGTTATTTCTATTACACGAATTTCTATAACACGATGTTTTACAAGAACACTACTATCGCGTTATAGCAGAACTACCTGTAACCCACTCCCCAGATCAGGAGTACCAATTTTTCAGAAATTTCCCTAGATTTACGCAAATTTTTCCGAAATTTTTCCAAAATTTTCCAAAAATTTTCCAAAATTTTCCGAAAATTCTCCTAAAATTTTCCTAAAATTTTCCAAAAATTTTCCAAAATTTGTCCAAAATTTTCCAAAAATTTTCCCAAATTTTCCAAAATTTTTAAGAAATTTTCCAAAAATTTTCCAAAAATTTCCGAATTTTTTCCAAAAATTTCCCCCAAATTTTCCCAAATTTTCCAAAAATTTTCAGAAAATTTTCAGAAAATTTTCCAAAAATTTCCGAAATTTTTCCAAAAATTTTCGAAATTTTTCCAAAATTTTCCAAAAAATTTCCGAAATTTTCCGAAAATTTTCCGAAATTTTCCGAAATTTTTCCAAAATTTTCCGAAATTTTTCCAAAATTTTCCAAAAATTTTCCGAAATTTTCCCGCAAATTTTCAGAAAATTTCCAAAAATTTGCCAAAATTTTCCAAACATTTTCAGAAATTTTCAGAAAATTTTCCAAAAATTTTTGGAAAATTTTCCAAAAATTCCCCTAGATTTTTCAGAAATTTCCCTAGATTTTCGCAAATTTTTCCGAAAATTTTCCCAAAATTTTCCCAAATTTTCCGAAATTTTTTCAAAATTTTCCGAAATTTTTCCAAAAAATTTGGAAAATTTCCCAAATTTTCCGAAAAATTTCCAAAATTTTCCAAAATTTTTCAGAAAATTTCCAAAATTTTTCCAAAATTTCCCCAAAATTTTCCCAAATTTTCCGAAAAATTTCCAAAATTTTCCAAAAATTTTCAGAAATTTTCCAAAAATTTTCTAAAAATTTTGGAAAATCTGGGGAAATTTTTGAAAAATCTGGGGAAATTTTTGGAAAATCTGGGAAAATTTCTGAAAAATCTAGGGAATTTTTTGGAAAATCTAGGGAATTTTTGGAAAATCTGGGGAAATTTCCAAAAATTTTCCAAAAATTTAAAAAATTTCCCGATTTTCCAAAAATTTCCCTAGATTTTCCAAAAATTTCCCTAGATTTTTCAGAAATTTCCCCAGATTTTCCAAAAATTCCCCTAGATTTTTCAGAAATTTCCCTAGATTTACGCAAATTTTTCCGAAAATTTTCCAAAAATTTCCAAAAATTTTCCAAAATTTTCCGAAATTTGTCCAAAATTTTCCAAAAATTTTCCAAAATTTTCCGAAATTTGTCCAAAATTATTTAAAAAAATTTTCCCAAATTTTCCAAAATTTTCCAAAAATTTTAAGAAATTTTCAGAAAATTTTCCAAAAATTTCCGAATTTTCCCCTGATCCAAATGCGATCCCGTCGAGAGCAGACTTGGAATCGCAGCAGACAAGCAAGGGGCAGAAACCATCTGCTTCTTCCTCAGCGAGAAGGGCAGCAATAAGGACTATTAGTTCAGCCTGAGTGGAGGAAGCCCCGTCAGAAACTCTGAGAGACAGTTTGATAGGCTCAGGGGCATCAGGACGGGAGATGTAGACAC